CCTCAGGGCTAACGGCCGCCGCGGTTAGAAACGTGTTTTTTAAGCACAAATGGTTAAAAGGGGGCTCTGCTTTGTGCTCCTCCCTTGTGCGTCTCTTGTCTTTTCTCCCCTCTCGTGTCTCCTTTCTAGGCCCTCATTCAAACAAGCGCTGCCAGCAGAAACCAAGGGCTGTTTGTGAAAACATTTATATTACAACCCAAAATATGCTAGGTATTTATTCCATACACAACTTGCATTTTTCTCCTGATGGTGTTTTTGAAAACCTGACCGATAAAAATATGCTTCAATGTTCAAATGTGCCTACATACGCGTGTCGCACTGATGGCGAGAAGACATGTACCGGTTAAGGGTAGCACACCGACAAGCAATTGATGAGGTAAAATGGTAGGAGGAAATATTCTGATGTGTGGGAGGGGGAAACTGAGCCTTGGCTCGGCTACTGTACCAGTTGATTCCCCTACACCCTTGTTTTAGGGCAATGTCGGAGAAGACCCACCCAGGCCTGCTGTTTCCTGCCACCCATCTTGCTTCCAGCTCCTTCGTGTTCCACCCGACAGTAGCAAAAGGAAAGCAAACATCAAGGGCTCTGGATACCCAGGTCCTCTCTGAAACAGGGAGTCCAGAAGCTAAAGAGAAAAAATGAAGACAGTTAATCAGCAGCGTGAGACTTTGAGAAATGGCCGTGGACTGAGAATGATGAAAGGACAATATTTACAAATATAGATTGGTAGAAATGGAATAAATCACAGAGGAAGGCAGGACACAAGGATTCAAAATGGAACTGTATGCCACACTTAACACAGTGGCACAAAGTTACCTCCAGATTTTCTCAGAAGGCTTCAATGTGTGTATCAGCAAGGCCATAAGTGCCGAAGTTCCCTATATGATCCACCAAAAAGTATTAAAACATGTTGTATCTTCTTTTCCAAGAGTATACATACACATATATATGTAATCTCAATGTATCAGATTTAGTGTCATATCTTCTCTCAAGCTAATTCAGAAAAGTGATGTTGGCTGTTGGTTACCATGGTACCTCTGCTACCCGTGTTTTCCTATTATTTGACCAGGGATCTGTTTTTACCCTTTCCTTCGTTAGAGCTCAGTATCCTCTTTTTATTTTTTCCCCAGACCCAGTAGTTCTGCCTGTTTCCTTGCGTATTCCGAGGTAATCACTTCATGCTCCCAGCCCAATTGCTTCTGACCCCTATTCTTTATACAAACTTATATAGATTATATATAAGCTTATCTGTGTGGCTCCTTAGAGCACTGCCCTTCCCATGCTTTTTCGGCAATCTTTGGACAGCTGCACAAAGCCATTCCGAGAGGGGCAGCTGCAAGAGATTTATCTTTCTCTCTTTTAGACTGGATATTTTGAGAATGTCATTTTAATTCTGCAGCAGAGATGCTGGGTTGCTGAAGGACACAGCAAGAGATTCGTTTACCCCCTGAGCAGCCTGGCTTATCTATTTCAAGGAGCAGGTGAAAAAGGAGGAAACAATGGTTTTAAAAGGCTCTATTTTGTGGAGCAACTTTAAAATTCACTAGATGTCTAGCCTCATAACCTTTACTGCCGGTTGACCTGTCACGTGTCACACTGGAGAGCACTGACAAGATAGCTGTCACAATTCTTTCCCTCTCTAAAACATTAAGTTACGCTATTCTGCCTCATGAAAACACGGTAACTGTTGTCCATGTCCACAATTTGTTTTGTTTAGACTGGTTGCCATCTCTCAGGTGCCTATGTAAACGTGAAAGAAAGATTACTCTTAGCCAAGATACCTACCTCCTGCCCCCTCTTTAAAAAGGATCGAAGCCCTGCCCGCAGGTGATCTGCAGGAGGCAAGAGGCATACAGATCTGCAAGAGGCAAAGGCTGTAAGAAACAGAAATGTCCGTTTGAATGTTTCTTCACTGCAACACAAGGGAACAAACGTTTACCTGTTTGTACGTCATAGGATCTGGGGGCTTGTGAGAGCAGCTGTGGACTCCGAGGTGGACATTCGGACAAACTATTTGAAAAGGCCCTGGAGCTGAAAAGCCCGAGACCTGTCCAGCCCTTATGCATGTGAAGAAAAAGACTTGGAGCGGTGGGAAGCAGGTGGCTGAGCATGTATTTATGTCTGTCTATGGTGAGCAGAGAGGCTGTGGGAAAGAACAAACTGCCAGTTCACAGGCAAAGAAAAAGTCCCATGAGAGGAAGGAAGAGGGTAATATAGGAGAATGGTGTTTTTATGCACTGTAGAGACATAAGCACCAAATTGACTGGAGGCAAGAAAGGCAGGGCATTGGAGATACCATACAATGGACAGTCCAGGCACCACCAAAACACAATTTTTAACAGAAATACTTTCTCCCTTATGCCTAAAAAGCTTTTTGAAGAACCTGGTATATAGTTCTTTAGTGAATGTTGGCAAAAACAATCTTGAAAAGGTTAAGCTTGTGAAATGGAGTAAAGTACCTAAAGAATTGGTTTTTATCTTATTTTACCCTGTTATCACTCAGCAGGACTACAGTTACGTCAACAAGTCTGTGCCTAAAAGTTCTGTTCTGGCCTATACAGAACACGGTAGCATATCTCTTGAGCAACTCCGTCTACTTTTAGCTTATGAGATACGCCTTCCAGTTTCTATACAAAGTGTCTCCTTATCGCTTGCAGTCCTTATCTAGCTAAAAGATGGGCCCGTACTGTCAAATGAAGATCAGAGTCTATATCTGTTTTCCACCCCAAAAATCTTTCTTAGAGCAAGCTTATAGAAGGCAGAATTTGCTACAGATACCCAATTTCAGAGTACAGATGGACAGACCATAAACTGAAATCATTAAATACTTCAACCACCTTCTGTTCCAGGTTGGAAGAACTAAATACATGTTAGCATGTTGATAAAAATAACCTCAAAGTAACTCTAAATTTCAGCAAAACACCATGAGAATGATTCTGTAATTACCAAACCACCCTGTGAAAACAAGACATGCAACTGCACACCTATCTCTACATCTCCATATGAAAAAAGAATGAAAAAACATAACATATATTAGTCATATTGCTAAAGTCATATTAGTCATATTGCATCTCTCTCTACTAAGAGATTTGATTAAATTACAATATAAAATTATATGTAAAGTTCTCCAGATAACACAGACAGAGTTACCTAAGTTAGAGAACACAGAGATTGAGTCATGTCCCTGCTAATCACAGGCCGATCTTATTTGTGCATTGCAAATGTTTTGACAATGATGAGGTCACAAAAGTACATATTACTCAAAAACATTTGCACATGTAATTAGATGCTTTAAAATGGAGATGCTAACATCAGGGAGTCCGTAAACATATAAAGCTCATAAACATGTATACTATGTTCCATAATAACCTCTCCTTTTCCTGAAATATCAATCCTTTTATTTAAATTTATTTAAAAGGGAAAATTAGAGTTGAAAATATGTAATTTTAAACTAGCCAGTGCTTCTGTGTGACTAGTTGTGTTTTACTACTTAATAACTTTCAACACAAAGTCTAACAATCAATCAACTTGAGGTCCTAGCATTACAGTATAAAAAATAGGACAGAGCAAAGTTAAAACACCGATGACTGGAAAAATCTTAAAAGAGTATTTGCTACTTTTAGAAGGTGAGACTGGGTGAGGGACACACCCCAAAATTACTGTGCCGTGTATGAAAAGCTTATTGAATGTGGTTCTAGTCATTTTCAGTAAATGGCAATTTACACAGAAAAAGTGGTTGATCTGCACACACAGACCATTCACAAACTGCGCGGTTTATTTGCAGGTGTGCAGATCTAGTCCACAATCTACCTGTGCAAAGCAGTCACTCCACTTATCTATACTCAGTCCAGTACACCATACTTGCCACACGCACTAAGAACAGTGCATGATTTATATACCTTGAAAGTCCCCAAGCGGCACCAAGAAAACCCTGACGCCAGTTAGTAATAGAGAAAACTGACTAAACCGCTCATTGCGCACACCAGGCACACAGGGAATCTCAACAGCCTCCCCAATTAACTGAGGCAGTTTCGCACATCATGGCCAGCCTACGCACCCAGGCGCCGCTGGCCCGCCCGAGCAGGCCGCAGGGCAGCGGCCGGAGGGCGAAGGCCGGCCAGGCCCTGGCCGGGGCACCGCGGAGGTGGCGCTTCGCCAGGACGAGGGAGGCCCCGGG